GCGCACTGTAGCAGTGCGCCACCGGGCGGCCCCCCAGAGGGCAGATTTAGGATGGGAAAGGAAGTCACTGGGAGATGGATGAGGCTCATTCTTCATGGTAGCGGGGCCAATAGATCAAATAATCATTTCCCCATCACTAGACGTGTGAAAGCAGAGGCCTGAGAATTCCTGCCAGAAACATCCATTAAAGGGGATACAAACATTGGGTTAGGACCAGAGACTTCATGACCTCCTTAGCTGTGATATAATTGCCGAGGAGTCAGGCGGGGAAAGTAGGCTGGGAATAAGGGAGAGGTGTGCAGGAGACCTGGAGCAACCCGGAGAGCCGGGTGGCGTGGAGCTTGGTGCCTGAGTCAGCTTCTGCTCTTGCCTGTCCCTTCTCAGGCTCGTTCACTGAAAGTCAGTCCCCAACAGCCTGGACCCTTGGGTCCAGTTCCACAGCCACCAAAGACCAAGCTCCCCTCAACTTCCTGTGTCCCAGATCCTACAAAGCAGGCAGAAGAAATCTTGAATGCCATCCTGCCCCCAAGGTAAAAAAAGGAGGCGTAGTCGCTGGGAAAAGGCCCAGGCTTTTACATCCCTGAATTTGGGAATGTGGGGAGAGACACTACCTCTGTTCCTGACTGGGGTTTGCTCCCAGTGTTCCAGAGCTCCTAGAGGGTGGTGGGAGACCTCTTCTCTAAATACCCTGATTTCCTGAGTGCTTTCACCTAGTCTCATGACTTTAAATTCCATCTATATGCTTATGGCTCCCAAATGTGTTTCCAGCTGTGACCTCTCCCCTAAACTCTAGACCCATATATTCTATTTCCTCATTATCTTCATAAAGATGTCTAATAGACATCTCAAACTTGACATGTCCATACTAAATCACAATGTCTTCCTCCCTCAACCTGCTCATACCCAGTATTCTCCTTTCTACTAGTTAGACCCATATATTCTATTTCCTCATTATCTTCATAAAGATGTCTAATAGACATCTCAAACTCGACATGTCCATACTAAATCACAATGTCTTCCTCCCTCAACCTGCTCATACCCAGTATTCTCCTTTCTACTAGTGACACAGGCCACCTTTCATTCCTTTTGGTCTCTCACACCATATGTCCTACCCTTCATCAAATTCTTTTGCTCCACCTTCAAATTATATCCCAAATCCAACTACTTTTCACCACATCTGCCTCCACCATCTTGTTCGTAGTCACTGTTTGTCACCTGCACTACTGCAATGGCCTCTTATCTGAAAAACCTGCTTTAACTCTTTGTTCCTACAATCTATTCTCCACACATCCCCTAAATCATAAGTCAGATCATGCCAGTCTTCTGCCAGAAACCCTTTAATGGCTTCCCATCTCACTCAGACTAAGTCCTTACAATGGCCTGGAAGACGTGGCATGTTCTAGCCCATGATATATCCCTGATCTTATCTCCTGCTATTGTTCCTGTTCACTGTGCTAAAACCACAGGAGCCTTCACTTGCTGTTTCTGAAACAACTCAATCACTTTCTCACCTCAGAGCCTTAACAGTTGCTGTTCTCACTGCCAAGGATGCTCTTCCCTTCATATACCCTTGGTTTCCTTCATTTCTTCACTTACGTCTTGCTCAAGTATCATTTCCTCAAGGAGGCCTTCCTTGAGAATCCTGTACAGTCATTCCTTGGTATCCATGGGGGATTGGTTCCAGAGTCCCTGCAGATACCAAAACCCGTGGATGCTCAAGTCCCTTATATAAAGTGGCATAGTATTTGCATATAATCTAGGATCCTTCCATATACTTTAAATTATCCCTATGGGCTGGCTGGTTAGCTCAGTTGGTTAGAGCACAGCCATATAACACCAAGGTCAGGGGTTCGGATCCCCATACCAGCCAGCAGCCCTCCCCCCCGCCAAATATTATCCCTAGATTACTTATAATACCTAATGCAATGTAAATGCTCTGTAAATAGTTGTTATACCTATTTTTAAAATTTGTGTTATTTCTTATTGTTGCATTTTTTTCCCAAATATTTTCAATCCATGGTTGGTTGAATCTGCCCATGAAGAACCCGTGGATAAGGACGTCTCACTGTGTAAAAGAACACCCCTCTCCAACATGATTACCTTTCCCTGCTCTTTTGTTCTGCAGCTACATTTATCACTGACATGCCTTTTCAACTGTCTTTATGTAAAAATTCACAGCACGGTCTTTAAGGCTATGATGAAAAGGGTGAATAGTCAAAGAGAGACTGTGATCTCCTCTGAAGTGAAGGTCAAGGGAGGAGGGTGATTTTTCAGTTGATTCTCTCCCACCAGTGGCATAGAAGTCCTCTCTCCCATGGTGGTTCTGTCTTTAAGCTCCCTCCTTGTGTTTCCAGAATTTGACCATGCCTCTGGCACAGGTTCATGATGGAGGCCCATGCAGGCATACACTTTCAAGAACCTTCCCACTCTGTTTTTTTAAAGAAAAAAGAAGAAGAAAAAAGAAAGCAAAAAAAGAACCTCGCCACACCCAATACACACATTTGCCTCTTTCTTGCTTGCACAAGGTCTGTGGTGTCCTGTGTCTCCCACACATAAGTCAGTGAGGCCCCACTGGGCCTTCTGTTGAGACCATACAACAATGACCACAAATCTGTCTTCAGCATGTTAGGAGGGTAAGATCTGGAACAGAGGACCCTTGGAAAGTGGCAATTGGTCACCTACCCAGACTCAAGGTAGGTAGCATAGTGGGTGTGGCTTTGGAGCCTCACACCCTAAGAGGGAGAGAGAGAGAGGGATTCTGGTGGGTTGGTGGTAGAGCTGCCACTCACTCCCGCTCAGGCAAAGAGCTCAAAGGACTCTCTTAAATTGATGGGTTTCGCTCAGCCTGGTTGTGTCTGTGCCATAGGGAGTGGGTTGAAGACACACAGCTATGGATCCAGCAGGTGTCCAGCACTCCCAGCACCAGGATGGATGTGGTGCACCTCCAGGAGCAGCTGGATCTGAAGCTGCAGCAGCGGCAGGCCAGAGAGACAGGCATCTGCCCTGTCCGCAGGGAGCTCTACTCGCAGTGTTTTGGTGAGTAGGCCTGGCGGGGGATGGGCACTACACACCCTATTGCCTCCTTCCCTTTCCCAGCACAGATCCAATGCCTGAGCAACCCCTAGCTGAAGCTCACCCCATCCTGGAGTCAAGTCTTCTCTCCCTGCCTGACCCACAACTGAGCAACTGCTAAATGCCCCTTCTTCCCCCTCCCAGCCCCACCTCTCCTACCAGTGTCCCACCTGTATTCCTGACAAACTGGTTCTTTACCCCTTAGCAGATGTCTGGAGTAAGATAAGAACTTCTATTTTAAATCTTTGTTTTTTCAAAGATTGCTATAAGGAGTGAGTGTTAAATATTTAATCAGAAAAATTAATGTTCTGTATTTATATTCATCCATCAACATTTGGCCCTTGGTCCAGAACAATACTGCAGGTAATATTGCAGGTAACTAGTAGACACAAGGGATTTAAGATCTACCTCCTTGAGTGTTGGTGTCAAATGGGTATCCCCCAGCCCAGTCTCACTGGCCCTTGTGGACTCTGATCTGCAAACCATCTCCAAACCGTCAGGCAGTTGCATGGTCTAGAAGGCTCTCCTCAGTATGAGTATGATTATAGTTTGCCCTCCACGTCAGCATTTATGGAGAAGATAGGTGGGCAAGCTCTAGACCATGCTGTTCCAGCCCCAAACCAGTCCAGCCATGGGGGCACACAGGATTTGCCAGCTGCTTTAAAAGAGCCATTATCAGGGCCGGCCTGTGGCTCACTCGGGAGAGTGCGGTGCTGATAACACCAAGGCCACGGGTTCGGATCCTATATAGGGATGGCCGGTTAGCTCACTGGCTGAGCGTGGTGCTGACAACACCAATCCAAGGGTTAAGATCCCCTTACCGGTCATCTTTTATGGTAAAAAGTGGAACTTCTTTTCCCTCGAAGCTGCTACTTTGGAGCCTTCCTCGAGTAGACTGGGTCTCTTCAGGCTTTCATGGGCGTGCTCTCCCACTGGCAGTCCCCTCTGAGGCAGCGTTTGGGGATTAAGCAGGGAACACATCAGAACTGGTGGGCGGGCAGGGAATGCCCTGACAGAGGAAGAGCCATTTCCAATTGGGAAACCTTCCCCAGGTATGTGGTCAGAGGAACCCAGCTGTCGGTGTTTTTCCATAATGCCAAATGCTGATGGCACACTTTTATCCCACTGAGGTGACGGGAGGGAGGGGAACCGGGGGAGAGGTTGTGCAGTAGGCCCCACTCCAGGCCTCTGCAACTTCAAGTTCTGTCTGGTTCCAAAGGTTCTCAAAGGTTGGGCCCCAGAGCAGCACCATCCTCCACCACCAAACAACTTTTACAAATACAAATTATTGGGCCCAGCCCAATCAGAAACTTTGGGTTTGGAGCCCAGCTGTGTTAAGGTCTCAGGTGATTCTGATGCTTGCAAAAGTTTGGGAATCACTGTTCTAGATATATGGCCTGCTGACATTTAGTGTCTCTCTCCTGTGGCCCTTGGCTGCATGGCAAGGCTGTTTGGGCCACTGAAGGCACTCTCCCTAAGGACCTTCTCTGAGACCTTGTCTCCAAGTGAGGAGATACACCCTAGAGTCCTGAGGACAGGTGGTTTGCAGTTGACACAGTGCATTTCCCCTCCTGCCTGTCTTCTCTGATCTCATGGTGTGTGTGCACTGGAAGATGAGCTGATCAGGGAGGTGACCATCAACTGTGCGGAGAGGGGACTGCTGCTACTGCGAGTCCGGGACGAGATCCGCATGACCATTGCTGCCTACCAGACTTTGTACGAGAGCAGCGTGGCGTTTGGCATGAGGAAGGCACTGCAGGCCGAACAGGGGAAGTCAGACATGGAGAAGAAAGTGAGTGGGGTTTACCATGACCTTTTGGCTCTTTGTGACTCTTCTGTCAATCTCAGGGCCATGTGGTTCATTCTGGTCCCCTAGGGTGCTCTGCTGACATTCACAACCCCCGGACCTTCGGTTGAGTGTAATGGCCAGCCTGGAGGCCTGGCAGAGTCCATCTCCTCTATGGACGCTCCATGCCAGTTGCTGACCCCCCACTGGGTGGCAGTACACACCCTGGCAATGTCTTGGGTTGGGCAGCTGTGTCCCAAGTTCCCTCCACACAGGCTCTCACCCCACCCCATCCACTTGGCGACATCCCAGGATGACTGCATTCTGTCCTCAGATTGCAGAACTGGAGACAGAAAAGAGAGATTTGGAGAGGCAAGTGAATGAGCAGAAGGCAAAATGTGAGGCCACTGAGAAGCGGGAGAGTGAGAGGCGACAGGTGGAGGAGAAGAAGCACAATGAGGAGATCCAGTTCCTGAAGCGGACGAATCAGCAGCTGAAGGTAACCAAGCCGCAGGCCCCGTGGAGATGCGGCCCCCGCCCCCAGGCACGCGGGCCAGCCATTGGGTTCCTTTCCTCTGTGGACTGTTCGGTGTTTGTCCACACGCACAGCCAAGGAGTGAAGGAAGCTGATGTTGCCGGGCGGGGCGGGGGGCTCATTACCTAGATCCTCCATCCTTCTGGCCCCAGAGGCTGGCTGCTCTCAGCTCTGAATCCCTATGACACCTCAGCCTGGCTCTCCAGTGGAGGATGTTTCCCCACCTGGGAAAAAACGTCGCCTACCTCAGGGAGAGGTAGATGTGGTAAAAAGTGGAACTTCTTTTCCCTCGAAGCTGCTACTTTGGAGCCTTCCTCGAGTAGACTGGGTCTCTTCAGGCTTTCATGGGCGTGCTCTCCCACTGGCAGTCCCCTCTGAGGCAGCGTTTGGGGATTAAGCAGGGAACACATCAGAACTGGTGGGCGGGCAGGGAATGCCCTGACAGAGGAAGAGCCATTTCCAATTGGGAAACCTTCCCCAGGTATGTGGTCAGAGGAACCCAGCTGTCGGTGTTTTTCCATAATGCCAAATGCTGATGGCACACTTTTATCCCACTGAGGTGACGGGAGGGAGGGGAACCGGGGGAGAGGTTGTGCAGTAGGCCCCACTCCAGGCCTCTGCAACTTCAAGTTCTGTCTGGTTCCAAAGGTTCTCAAAGGTTGGGCCCCAGACCAGCATCATCCTCCACCACCAAACAACTTTTACAAATACAAATTATTGGGCCCAGCCCAATCAGAAACTTTGGGTTTGGAGCCCAGCTGTGTTAAGGTCTCAGGTGATTCTGATGCTTGCAAAAGTTTGGGAATCACTGTTCTAGATATATGGCCTGCTGACATTTAGTGTCTCTCTCCTATGGCCCTGGCCAAAAGGGGCTCCTGGACATATCTCCCTGTGCTCCCCAGTCTCATAGAAAGCTTACATTCTTGAGATGGGCAGGCTTGTTGGTCCTATAAACCAAAAAATGCCAGCAATTTGTGATAAAGAAGGCTTTCTATTAACCACTAGTGGAGGATTACAGATTTTCTTGTTACTGAACAGTATAACAAATACAAAGAAAAACAACAAACTTTCACAGGCAGATGTAAATCTGTTTACTTAGCAGACTCTGAAGCCACTTCCCTTATCTGCCATATTCCTTTATCACAAGCCCGAGTTTCTCAGTTCCTCTTATAGTATTAATAAGAGAAAAGCAAAATAGCTTAGCATCTTCTAACATTTAAAAGCAACCCTGTAATCCTCAGAGTGAAGGATTCTTTAGAAGTGAGTTATTGCCTCAAAGCTGCACTACGAATAAAGCAGTGTTTGCAGTCCCCAGGACTTAAAGATCTGTCCACATACCATGATAGTAAATTATTTTACTGGCTTGCCAGAGGAGCAAATAACTCCCAACTGTCTTAAGCTTTACATACAAGATGGACAGCTCACTTCTCACTGGTAGCAATTTTCTCTAATTGGGTGTCAAGTTGTCTCAGTGTCTGAAAACTTGCTATTTCCCAAACCTCTGGTCCCAGTAGAGCTCCCAGAATCCTAAACCAGAGAGCCAAATGTAACTTAGATATATCCAGGCCTGAAATCTGAGCCATGAAAAACCACCATTTCAACAACTTATTCAATTTCTTTTCCAATGCTTTATATTGTACACTGTACCATTATTATATGGAAACCAGGACAGCTCTGGTTTCTCCTCATGTAGTAAGACTGTACACCAAGTCAGAAATTCACTAATCTAGAAAATGTGGAGTTGGGAATGAAGGAAGGGGGGCAGCATTTGGATTATTCTTCACAGAGACTGTTATCACCTCTCAGCTATTTGTGTTAAGCTGCCAGTTTCAAATATTAATGGAGTTTTTGTTTTTCAGGCCCAACTGGAAGGCATTATTGCACCAAGGAAGTGATAATTTCCATATTGGTCTCAGCAAGCACTACTACCCCATCATAAGCCTTTTGTAATAAAAGCTAGTTTCCCAAGTGAACAAGCCATACCCCTCCCCTGATCATCACCTACACATTTGTCAGAAGTCACACTATTGCCCCAGTGTCACGTAAGGTCTGACAGCCAGGCTGCTGGTTGGGCAAGGGAAGGTGGTGTAACGTAGCCCCGATTGTCTCAGTATGTGGCTTACTAGCCAACCTTGGGATTTGCCAACTCAAATAGTACGGCTTAGAAAGCGAGTGCTTTCTCATGACTTCATACCATCACTTATTTCTTGCCAAATCAAGCTGCTTCTCTGCCCCTCAAATTTTTGGTTCACAATTCACTTTGTGCCGATCCCCCTACTTCTGTGAGACATTTACATGACAGGGTTACACTCTGGAGGAACTAGAGGACTACTTCAAGCATCTGAAGTGCCAATGGACTCGATCACTGAAATCTTTAGTGGTGAGGGGGCTTTATTTTCACTAGTCCTGGTGAATGGCTTCAACTGTCAAACCTCAGACAAATGCATTATGGCCTTAGAGATGCCAACTGGACATGAAAATGAACACATTTAACAGAGTACATATCTTTGTATAATTTCATAAACAACTTTTCAAATGTTACTGCTTATATTTGAGTTTTTTGTGTTTGTGTTTCTGTCCCTCTGAGTCATTGGTCTTCTTTTTGTTCCTGTTCCTGTTTTTCACATTGTGTGTTTCATAGTAGCGAACACCAACTTTTTTGGATTGCTGCTGCCGTGCTGCTCGCCTCCGCTGTAAAAAAATGGCAAAAGGACAAAAAACCGTCAAACATGGAAAGCCATAAAACAGGAGCCTCTGTTTCTCATCCCTGTGCTCCACCCACAGCCACTGGAAGCAGTGCTAATGAGGGAGGGTTCACTTCACAGACCTAAGTTTCCTCTTCCATTGTGACTTGTGAGTTACAAATTCTTGTTTGGTCCAAACCTCACCCAGTGCTTGAATCCTTTCTGCAGCATTCCTGATAAGTGGTCTCCCTGAGCAAATCTGAAGCCTTCTGATAACAAACCATTCCCCTCCCCAGAGGGCTGGCTCCCACTCTGAACAGCTCAGTTACAAAGCCATACTGCACAGAGGTCAGCAACCTATGTGCCCAACAGGTCTCCTCATGTCATTTCCCTGGGACCACGCAAACCAAACTGATTCTTCTAGAGGACAGTCCACGGGTTTGAAGACAGTAATCAGGAACTCCTAAACATAGGACACAGACTCAAAGGACCTTCATCCAGTGGGCAACCTCTTGATCCTAATTAGCTGACCTCAATGAGGTCACTGAGGACTGGTGTTCCTAGGATTCAGTTCTAAACCATTTGTTTCAGAAAGAGTGGCTCCAGAGAGCTGGATTTCCCTCTACCTTCTATACCTGTGCCATACTTAAGAACCAAAACACTTACCTCCTTAGATGTAAGTATCCTGGGAGTTTTATTCAAATATTCCTCGTCCCTCTGTGCCTTCCGCTTCCTTCCCTTTTTGGTAGGTTCTGGATACAAGCAATACACAAACACACACACAAAAAACAGGAGTTTTCAAAATTTGTCTGTGAACCCTATGGTGGGAATGAGCGTGATGTGTCAGGAGCAGGAGGAAGAAGGCCAGTGTGGATGGAGCAGGTGAGCAAAGGGGAGAGAGTAAAGCAGGCCAAGGCAGGGAGGGCACCAAGTCAGGCGCCCTCATGTAAACACCCTCAATAGGGAGGCTGTTAGTTAATTGTAATAAAGAATAAACGCGGGAAATGCACGGCACCACCCCTCCAAACCACTGCAATTTGTGTACGGATCCACCCTTGGATTCTAAGGTTAATAATGTACGCTTTTTAAGAAGTTTCCTGAACTGCCAATTTAATCCTAGAAAATGTGCAGAATGACAAGTGGATTGTCCAAATTGTATGATAAATAGTATATGGAGTCAGGGTTATCTGCCAGATATGGTAAGTATCTGTGGATGATATTACAAGAGACAACTTGGAGATTCAATTTAGGTTTCTCAGAGTTCTAAAGATGCAAATCACATCTAAATCACTTAAATACTTTATCTTTACCTGTGTCATCTAGAGCTTCTTCAGGGGGTTTTCTCTGTTCTTCAGATTTTGCAAAAACCTTTTCACTCAGCCCCTTGGATATTCTGAAACACAAAAGCAAAGTAACAAAGCTGCCCAACATTCCTTTCAGCTGCCCAAATCACATGCTGACTGGGGGACCTGCAACAACCTTCCAGATTAAAGAAAACCCACACCTATTTACATAGTTAATACCAGTGGGAGATGTCAAAATCCAACAGCTTTTGTAGCTCCCTGGGCATTTCTAAAAGATTGGACACCTAAACTTCTCATAGTTCTGGTAGCTGAATTTTATAAAATTTACTTTTCAGAAAAAAAAAAGATCACTTTTTAGAAAGTGGTAAAGCTCCAATACTCACGGTAAGTTTCCAAGAAAGGAACAAACTGCAATTTGTGAGAAGACGGAAATATTACCTGACTGCTGAAAACCTTTTAGCTTTGGCTTTGTTTAAAATTTTCTGGTATTTAGCAATCTTTTCATCCAGAGCTCGAAGAACTGCCTTGGTACTGTCTTCCACATGCTCTTTCTGGGACTCCTGGGAAGACTCTTCCTCGTCGGCCCCCAGCTGCTCCTGTTCCTCCTCCTCTCCAGCAGAAAAGCTCTCAAGCTCTTCTTCGATATCTGACATCTCCACAGGAACCAGGTCATCCCCAGAAAACTGGGGCACAACGTTGATTTTGCCAAAGTTCTGCCGAACCCGTGCAAGAATCTGTTGCATCTCTGAGTTACCATCACAGTGACTGTTTTCTTTTTCTTTCTCAGTGACAGATTGTGACCCTTCATCTGCAATGTCTGTGGTTTCCTCTTCTGGGTTGCTCTGGGTTGTTTCTCCAGCAACTTCCAAAGATGAGAAGGGTGAAAGCTATTGAGGCCCAAAACAGGTGGGGGTGGGGGAGGGAAAAGGAATCAGAAAATGAACACTGGATTTTTGAACTCATACCTTGCTCTCAAATGAGGCAGTCTTCTTCTCAGGACTAAAGGAAAGTAGTGAAAACACCCAAATTTGAGTCGCAACATTATTCTGAGCCAATGTCCTTTAAACCCAGAAACTAGTATTAAAGGATCAAAGGACTATATCTGTGGTCCCAAAGTATCAGCCAACTATAAGAGTATTTAACCCCTGAAACCAATCAAGAATTTACTGGAGACAGGTAAGATCCCCAGATGATCCTTGAACACTACGCAATGAGCACACGACTACGTGCAGATGGCAACCAGGCCCAATCGGGAGGAGAAGGAGAACTGCACTAGCTTAGAAAGTGTCAAGTACAGAGGCACTTGAAGAGGCATCTTAGGGCTGGCCCGTGGCTCACTTAGGAGAGTGTGGTGCTGGTAACACCAAGTCAAGGATGCTCAAATGAGGATAATTAGTATATTCAACATTATACCACGTAATCATTTTTTGGCCCTTTACCAATTTCTTTTTTTTTTTTTTTTGTCTTTTTTCCGTGTCCGGCAACGGATCACAACCCTCAGTGTTGCCCCGGTACCAGACCGGGGACCGGCAATGGGATCGCAAGCCTCAGCGTTGCTCCCGCACCTCGCTCAGCCAGTGAGCAGGAGCCGGTCTGTATGTGGGATCCGAA